TAATAGAATTATTTTTTTAATTTGTTGAAGAGCACTAGGGAATGCACCTTTAAGTGTCATGTACACGTACATGTACATTGTACAGTACATGTACATGTACATGTACGTGCACTCCCATGAAGACAAAATATACCACACTGCATATGGTACAGAAATCATAGCTCTGGGATCATGTACATGTAGAATTATTGATGGCTTTAACATTCATTTTGTCTGGGCCATGTTCCGGTGGCAAATCTTCTGTTCATTTCAACTGCCACGCTTGTCCATCACTCACTACATGAATGCGCTAGCTGGCAGTTTCCTCGCTTCTCTTGCAGTTGCAAAAAGCGTCTGATAATACTTGGGGGATATAAACACTTGCACGGTCCAGCGAAGCGAGACCCGTCCGCTATTAATGGAAAGGATCCTACCACAATGAATGGAAGGATTCAATGATTAAAACAAGAGTTGCTTATTAATAACTACTGGAATTAACTGAAATTTATAAGATGTTCATGTACATGTACATTAAGTACATTTTACATGTACACATGTATGATGTACATGTATATGTAATTTTTTTACATAAAAATTACATATATGTACATGTACATGTACAGTACATGTACTGTACATGTACTGTACATGTACATGTATTTGAATAAAATGTTCAGATTCGGTATTGTTCTAACTCTAAGCTGGCGTGCACACCTTTATGTGTACAGTCGAGTCTCGTTAATACAAACTCGTTCGGACCTAGCCAAATTGTTTGTTATATCAGAATTTTGTATTAAGAGGAACATCAGTCCCATTAATTGTGCACATACAGTCAGGACCAAGGCTTTATGTTTGTAATAACCAGAATTTGTCAGAGTTTGTACTAACGAGAGTCGACTGTATTTTGCAGTATAGGAAGCTACCGGAACATTCATAATGACCATCTGTGCAATAACAATGTGGGTCAGAATCAATCATTGCCCTTAACTATTTGTAACCCAATCCTGGGCTCTCTGCTAAGGCCCTTAATATTATGTAGGACAGCCTGTTCACTCTACATGTAATTCCCAGAACAACAGACAATAGCCTGAAGATGAATATTGCATGTGGTAGGGTACATGTAATTACTGCACAGATGCTTTGCATACGAATCATCTGGTACATGCACGTACGTTACATGTACGTATACCTGGTACAGTGCATTCGACTTTTCCTTGTGCCTTAGGCCCAATAAAAAAAAAACATGTTTCTCGTCCGGGTTTTTTTTAAAAAAGGAGGAAGCGGGGCTTTTTATTTTCTATTTTAAATTTTTTTTCAAGATGGCCGCCATTTTAAAATTTCCTTCAACCGTTGGTGTTCTACTGCTCAAAGACACTTTTAAAATGAAAGACAAGTTGGACAAGAGAACTGAACATATTTTCAGTGTCATTTAGAGTTGTATTGGTATTGGTATTTATTTTCCGATGAATTTGTGGACTTTTTCGGTGTTTTTTACTGCATTTTTGAAAAATAAAAAAATAATAAAAAATTCCAGGCGGCCTCCAAAAAGGAAGCGGGCGGGGACGAGAAACATGTTTTTTTTTTACTTCGCCTTACATGTACATTTACATGTACATGTACTGTATGTACAGTTTACATGCAAGTACGTACATGTACTGGTACTGTTATTGACCCCTTGACAAGGAGCCCCACTCATCGGATGAACTAAAAACATTTAAGTTGGATATCTGCACATGAACCCATACAAGGACATGTACGTGTACTGATCTTTGAGTTCACGATGGAACTCAGTCATCAGACGATGCCCAATTGTACATTTATGTACAGTGCATGAATTTTTGCAGACTTGTGGAAAATCTGCTCAGTACAAACATGTACCGGCATACATATCATCTTGTACATAATCATTTACATACATACATGTACACATACAAAACAGCGAGTTAGTCTGGCATCTGAGACCTGAGGTACGATCTTGTGTCATATCACATTCCAACGAAGGCATCAACTTTCTGGCTGCATTTCCTGTAACTATAGACCTTCCTTATTGCACTGGCAGTGATGCCGAGCTATTTTATCAGGGCAGAACAGACAACTCCTGTGTCGTATTAAAGTTCTGCGCTATCGCACCAGCCAATCAAAGAGCCACATTTAACTTTTTTAATAGGCCTGTCCCGAATATATACAGAATTTGGTTTGATTATTTGGGAATAAAAACTAAGCACACGACTGTGATGTTATTCTAATCGTTAAGTTGCAGCACTTTATTGTTTAAGTACTTGACAGAAAAATACTTAGGCATACATGTACTGCAGAACACTCTAGTCTCTAGCGGCCGACAGCATCGATTGTGGCACACAAATTTTAACTGGCGCGCTTTACATGCAACTTTTCACCGGTGCGGCACAGCACGCTGTTGCAGCTGGCACATGTAGCCTAAAACTTGGTCGGCGAGTTTTGAACACTCGAAGATTTGGTCAAACGCCACTACTGGGTCTGTTTTGAATAATGGTATACTAAATTATTTGGAAGTGGACAGCCAGGTACACACGTACCAGTACTTTTTAATAATTTTTAATCACCAAAAGTACTATCCACTCCGTTCTCAAGTACCCCCTCACCGGCAAAGAGAGAACAGTTGGGGGTGACCAACCGACGCCATCTTGCCTGACAAGCTCAGCCACTGTGTGGACATAGTACAAATCCCCTGGTGTACGTGCGTCACACACAAGGAACAATGCGCATTAACCAGCGAAATGTCCCACCCATGGGACGTTGTTGCTAGGTAAAAGGGCGCCCTCTTTCGTCGGCGCACAGAGCCCATAGCTGTCCTAACGTTTCGGTCTTAAAATTTAAAGCAAGTTTTAATGTTTGATATTGCCTTTCCAAAGTTTGTAACACTAACAGCACTGTGTTGACATACAGTGCCCATCCAGGGGAACCTGATGACCTCTCATGACCCAACATGACCTTGGCTGACCCACCCATTGTTTTGACTGGGTCTCTCCCATCCATCAACAGGAAATTCCAGGAGCTGGGGAGACCCAAGGTCACAGCACATGTGTGGGCTACTGCAGGAAGATCCCCTAGGTGAAGGAACTTCTGTGCCAATCTTTTGGCTGTCAGCCAGATCGTGGCCAGATAAAACATTTGTGGGCCTTCAATGTGGAGTGCAAAAAGACTCCAAATGGAGCGATTTGGAGGATGCTCATTTGCTTATCAGAGGATTTGCATTCTTTAGTGCTGCTGCTTACCCCACATGCCGCAGTCGTAATATCCATGCAGTACAGTGAACATAGACAAAGCGAATATTGACTGTTTTGTAGTGAGCAGAAAGCTTAAAGTGCAACCTTTGAGCTGCTTTGCGATAATGACCTGGATGTACATGTACATGTAATCAGCTATGCACAAAACAATTGCCAAGCACACATGTACGGTACATGTACGTGTACATGTAAGCACACCATTTTCTGAGCCTCCATCTACTTCACGGAGACCATAAGCAGTATAAACACAGCAAAAGGCATGCTTGAAGGTATCTCAGAGGAAAAGTTGCTTAAAATTTAAGCAACTATTGCATCGAAGATTAAACTTAAATCGTCGATGCAACAATGGAAATCTCCATGCACGCAGCAACTGTTAGTACCGTACATGATCCACGCCATGAAATGGTGCTAGGTTAGCACAATTTTCTGCTATGCACATGTAGCTCAACTATACTGTTAAGCAGCATCATGAAATTGGTCACCAGCCAAAAAGTCATAGGGCAAATGCTGTGTGTGACTGGTTCCCACACAAATTTGTTAAGCACAAAAACGCTCTGCTCAGCAATAACAGCTTCACACCAACGTGCACAGACCTGTCACTGCTGTTTTGCAAATTCCAGCTGCCGTAAGGCCTAGGCCGGTTCATATTATAATTCACACGCAAATCTCAGTGCGAAGTGACTTCGTTTGGGTAACGGCAAATGTCACAATGTTGACTTCATGAAATTCGCTTCGCTTTTGCTTGAAGTGCATACCGGTAGGAACCAGTCTCCAATCTTGCCAAAAACAAATTCTCAGCAATATAATTTATAAAGAGCAGCCCTGCCTTGTTTTGTCTATTGTTTAAATTATGCCCCCTCCTGGACCAGCTCCAAAAATGGAGTCCCCTGTTCCACCGAGCCAACAATTTCAAATTGCCTTTTTCCTCCAGAACAATGCAAACTTGCTAACCACAATGATGAATGAAAAAAAAAAAATTGGCTCCACCTTCAACAACCTTGGAAACTTTCCCAATTGTTATCCAACAATCAAACACATGTGTCATCAAACTCAGCTATGGGTATTTTTCCCAGACTGACTACATGTACATGTACATGATCCACTGCACAAGGGCCAATGGGTTACATCAAGAACTAGTCCGAAAATTTGGGACTCTCAATACTGTGTATGAGAGTCCCAAAACTTAAGGTACTGGAAACATGCAAAACAAGAAAATAGACTGGCGCCTAAAACAACCAACTGGTCCAACACAGCTTCAGTACTGCATCAATCAACCATGCCAAAAGAATTTAAGAAACCTGTGGCATGAAGTGGGAACTAGTCTCAATTTACTACACATTTCTCCATAGTTAAGCCACCAGACTATTGACACTGAAAAGAAGTCAGTCTTTTCAAATAGTTGGACCATGGTTGGACATGTACAAGTCTAGTATTTAGCCCCATTTTGAAATCACTTGACTTCCCTCTCATGTGCAAAATATTGAAGAAAAGTCTCCTTTAAAAATTGAATTGAGTCTGCAAACTTGGTTGGTGAAATACTGAGGACATATTGTGTAGGCCTTATGTCTTTGCCCCAGTGGAATTTTTTGAGAAATTTGCTGGCTAAACTGTGAGTAAAGTGGGCCTGATTTAGTTTTGCACGTTTCAGAGCACTCCAGAGCCCTGTCTGATCAAGAACATGCAATCATTTCCCTTAAACTAGACAACCGGGAGGTATTGAACCACACCACAAATGCAACATTGCATTTGACCCACCTCTGTGACATCCATGACCTTGATTGCTGCCAGTTGACCTGTCTTGACATGGCGACCCTGGGAAAGACAAACAAAGAATCACACACAATCAGTACATTATAAAATATACAGCGTAGGGTATGCAGTTTACTTGTTTAAAGGGAATGTACATCGTTGGCTTTTGCTTTAATTTTCAGAAATGAACTATTTGAGGGGTTAGTATAATAGATCAAATTATTGTTACACTGACATGTTTGAAGTTTTGTTTTCGAAAATGCTGCAAAAACCAAGAAAAACAAAATTTTTTCAAGTAGTCTGGTTCCCTGACTCCACTAAAGATGAAATAGATCAATATTTATAGATGCCGGAAAATTGTAAGGTAAGGGAACCAGTCTAGCCTGCCTGCACCCGTTCATGAACATGTAACCAATAGCAAACAAAATTTGGACTAAAAAATGGTAAATTTGGATCAGTAGTTGAAAAATAGTTAGGTTTTCCAACGGTGGTCGGCCGACCACCGTTGGAAATGTATACAAAAATAAAATTTTCTTGAAAATGACTTCACACCAGGTGCCATAATTTTACAGGATGCTTGAGACTGTCATTTACCAACATCCTAGTAAAGTACTTCTTAAAACTTGGCAGTTTTATTTTTCGATGTTTGCAAATGTTGTATATTCCCTTTAAAACCTAGGCTACATTTATACTTTTTTTTGTCTGTTTCCAACTTCTTGAAACAGTAAAGGGGAATTTGTATACTGTTTCAAATTAAAACTGATGTTTGTGTTCAGCCATTAGGCCAAGCATGCCATGTTTGGCCTGAACTTAAGTTTAAACTAATTCTGGCAAATGTAGCACGATATGAGAATGAGGGACCCCCCCCCCTCCTTTGTGTTGGTCATTGTGTTACCACAATCTCAGAAATTCTGTTGAGATATCTAGGGGGCACCAGTATGCATTAGGTAACATTAGTCTAGGGTTTGCATGGGGTATAGCGAGATTGGGGGGGGGGGTACCCCTTTGTCTCAAATTGTGCTGGGTATAATTTCTGGTTCAGGAAAGGGCTCTGGAAAAACACTATGGAATACTTATTTCTGCATTTGATTTTAAAAGAATGCAGAATAAAAAAAAATAGAATATTTTGAGTTGGGGAGGGGCAGGGTGGGGGGGGGGGGGGGGGGGTGCGTGCGCACCTCTTATAATATCCATTGTAATAACACCACACTGTAAATGCACACCTCATACTGTGATGTTCTTCTAGTATTTGACCCTAACAAGCTGATGTTGTGTTGTCATTATTCTCACACTCTGTTGCGATTTCCATTTAATCCTTCATGGCGTGTTAGCCCAGGGTCAGACTTGTGTTGTCTGCAAACACCCTTGTTAGACTAATGCTGTATTGTTATGATACAATGCAATTGCCCCTTGCACACACATGTACATGTACAGTACATGTAGCGATGTGCCATCATTCCTTTCTACCACCACAGCTGCACTCTGAGTGCTAACACAAAACATACATAATGTACATGTACCGGTAGGCCTACATTTGTATTTGTCACAGGGATGACATTGTCAATTTCAAAAAAAGTCTGAAAATTGGGTGAAGGGTCTGAATGATGTTTTTCTATACTGTCTTTCTCTCAGATTCCAAAAAAATCTGAATTCAGACAAAAGACTGAAAAATCTCGTGCCTGCTGTCACCAAATTATCAAACCAAATTATCTATCCACTAGGCTAGGTCTCAGGGTTGCAACTTACAAACCTTTTGTAGGGGAGGGGGGCAAACCACATGTATGACACAATAACTCACTGTTGTCAAGGCACCCCCCCCCCCCATCACAGCTTGATGACATTTAAACCCACCACAATTATCATCCAGGTAACACAAAGCTCCTGCTGCCTGTTCAGTGTTAACACAATTTCCGATCCAAGGCACGTAGCAGATTTTTTTTTTTATCCATGAAAGGGTTCTTTCACGACTTCCCTTCCACGTACAAAAAAATCCCCTGCCTGGAATATAACGCAGTACACTTACACATGTCAAAGGGATTTGGAAAATGTTGACCTCTCGTAAACCCAGATGTGTGTGTATTTCATGCAGGAATTTAAAAGTACTGTCAACACCGCCAAAAAAGAAGAAGAAAAGTCCCCCACACTCATTGGAGGGGTCATTTTTTTAAACTCTAATTGTCTTATAACATCATGTAGAATGTTGTGCTCTACATTTTGATACCGTTTGCTACATGTACCAAAGACTGTAAATCGTCCAACATTGACAACATTGAAATATGATGCAGTTTGAAAAGTTGCAATTTTTAAAGAGTGCGCGAGTGGAAATTGCTGTGTGACAACGTCACGTTGTCTGCAACCAATGTCAGGGAATATCGATGGCACATTTATGCGAAATTGAATAACCCGCGCTTTGTTTGGGCATTGTGCAGTCAATAGGGGTCAATTACGGGCATGTGTGTTTGCGCTAAGCAATTTCTCCTCAAGTAATCTTTAAATTTACAACCTTTCAAAGCGCATCATTTTTCATATAAACCATTGTCAATCTTGGACAAAAGTACCGGTGCGGTACATCCCATGTCACAAGTTATGGGGCAGTATCGAATGGTTCACTCTTTATTCTGATTCAGATCAACCCTACTATTTTTTCCCCAATTTTTTACTAGCTGACACCAGGTGAAACCAAGTTCCCACCAGATGACAATGGCTCCGTGTGGTAAAAGATGGAATAACAATGCAAATTGCAAAATGCATACAAACGGATTCTGTTGCAACAAAAATGCTTTCAACCCGTACCGTACATGTCCACCATTTTGACCTTGCATGGATTGGGAACCCACCATAATCTTTTGTGCTCGCCTAAGGGATGACGACTACCAATTATATTTATCAAATTTTACGGGTGGGTTTATAACGTGTATGAAGAAGAGCAACAAAAGAGGCATGCATTGTCAGCAGCTGTTGGATAGCTTGAGCAAAGATTTAAGGCTCAGAGACTAAAGGCCTTAGTGAGGCCAGCAGACATGTTAAGCATTTGGCATGTTTATGATGTTGTACACCTATGTATCAAAGGGCTTATTGTCTGGTTGTTAGCTGTACAATATTTATGATGAATTTGTACATGATCCGTGTACATGTGTACAAATGTACAAATGTACAAATGTACACTGTATGTATATAATTGTGATGCGAGCTGTTTTTAAATGTACCTTTCACTCATGTTCTTTCTCAATACAGTGTACATGTACATGAATACAAGTATGTCATTGTGGGTACCGTGTATGTGCTGAACTAATTTAGTGCAAAATTAATTGTTTGGCTACAGAATAAGCTGCATTACATTGAACTTGTACCGGAACATTGTAAACAGAAAGGCAATGAAAGTGATAGGCATCAGTTCATTATAAACTATCATAGGACAATGCACAATGCAAAGGGTTAACATTCTCATGTGTTTGTGTACATCAGAGTTGATAGAGTACGGGCCTGACTAAATTGTGAATTCCCATTGCAGTTTTGGGGTTTTTTTTTCTGTATTTTGTTTTTGCTAGACCCTGCTGAATACAGCAAAATCTTACAAATTTATGTAAGTGTGGAAGCCAGCTGAATTTTGTGGAACATGGCGACTATTTACTGCCCACTGTTGGTTGTGTATTGTTTTAGGAGGATTGGGGGGGGGGACCCAAATATTTAGTAAATTGAAGTCCCCTTTCATGTATCCACTTTAACTTCCTTGCACACTGTACATGAGGAAATGGGGTGATGATTCAAAGCAAATCATTGATCCCAAGTGGAATCTGAAACCCCTCATTGGAAAATAATTGAACTTTGCCTCTGGGCCACACAAAGGGATACTTTACACAGGGTTTGTTGTTTGCACTCATGTCAAGTTGGGTTTCAATATCTGGACTTCATCACGTAAAATAGGGGCCAGATTACTACATGTTACTTGCAGAGTTTGTTTATTGACCCAAATCACAGCACCCCAGACTTGCTATTGTCTGCTAATCTTTACAGATTTGTAGCTGACAACACAAGCTTGCCAAAAAAAGAAGGTTAAACACAAAGTTATTAAGGGGCAGAGAGTACAATTTTAAGCACATACATACGTGTACACACCCATGTTTGTTTTACATACGCTATGTGGACATTCCTTTGTTTTCGTGTAGTTAAGAAAACTCGCTACAAAAAATAACTTTACTTAAACTGTGAAAACTCTTTCAACCCAATTTTTTTCTATGATTCCCTATAGTGTTTCTCTTCATTCTGCAACAGATAAACCTAACCCAATAATGCCTCTAAACCTGTTTTTCAGAGAGGGCGAAACGTTATGTGGACACGGCTTAGTCCACATAACATCAACACAACCTGCACTATGTGGACATCTTTTGTTCACAAGTCCACATAGTGAATGTAATGCCTACCCACTGGTACATGTAATGGAAGGTAACATACTGGTACACACATGTACTTCACATTTAGGCCCTGTGCGTATTGTCATGCAACATTAATGTTCACATGATGCGCCAAGAATTTGACACAGAGAATTTGGATGAGTCATATATGTACTTGTATGTGCCTTTTTTACTTTCGACTTGTGTGGAGATGGCGTCTGAAGGGTCACAAACTACCAGTAACGGTACATCATGTCTTCACGTATGTACAAATGTACTGTACATTGTCCCGGTATGTCAATCCACGTTGAAAATCATTGAAACAGTGACATGACATGTACACAGAGCTCTGTGAATAGAATCATTTGAAACTCCAGGCTCGTACAGTATCCCAAGTGTTTCAGTCTGTAAATTTCACAAAAAGGCAGGCCTCCTTGTCATGCTTGTTGTCAAACATGTCCCGTACATTGTACATGTGACCTGGCATATCCTGAGCTACAAATGTCACACACCTTCAGTTCCTGTGGCCAGGATATCCCAAGCCAGTGTGGATAACGCATGCCGGAAATGTGGGCATCTGACACTAGTCAACTGTTTTGTTATGATGTACACTGTCCACAATGTACATTGTTGTGTACATGTACATATATATATGTATGTAATTCTGAATCTTGTTCTGTGACTGTGATTTACACACAATTGAAACCTATACAGGCAGAATTTCGCTACACATGTAGAACATCTACCGTTACCGTTGTGGAGTGTCATGGCCTAGCGGTTGAGAACACCGGACTCATGCCCTGGTGTTTCAGAGGCAACAGTGGCGTGGGTTCAAGCCCGGGCCCGGACACTTGTGCCCTTAAGCAAGGCACTTAACCATTATTGCTTCGTCTTTCGGATGGGACGTTAAGCCGGAGGTCCCGTGTGTGTTGTATAAGGCCTAACGCACATAAAAGAACCCAGTAACACTCATCGCTTAGAGAAGGGGTTTGCCCGGTGTTTCTGACCTCCTAGTTATACTCCCTTGTGGAAGTTTTTAGGAGAAGAACCAACCAAGTACCAAGTAACAGTGCTACCGTACCTTTCTGAATCCTACCAAATCCCCTGTCGAATATTTTATGTGTACCAAATGTACTACATGTACAATACATTTACATGTGCTTTCATTTGGCCTCCACTCTCCAGTGCGTTGTGATACGTGGCTGGGCTGTGCAGTACAAAACCTTTTGGCTGATTTTGAAGTATCTAGGATGGGTAGCAGCCATCTTAGAGGGCAATGCCTTTGTTTTTTCTGGAATTTGCATGAGTGAACCTTTTGCACATTTATTGTTACTGAATAAAAATAACAAGATGCCCTCTAAAATGGCCACTTTGTATGAAAGGTCTATTGTAAATTATGCTCGCCTGTTTTTTGGGCTGAAAATCTTCCTACCGGTCGGTATATCATTAACCCTAACTCCCTAGGCCTTTTTGCTAGGATGTTGCCTCAATCCTGCAAAATCCTCCAATTGGCCTCATGGAAAAATAACATATAGCCTGAATCCTGCAAAATCCTCCGGCTATGACTGTCAATAGGCTGAGGCAGAGGCAGTGACATCCTGGAGCAGTGCGGAGGATGTCAAGTATAATCAAGGGCTAAATTTATACACGGCTGAGCATAAACAACACAAGGTCCGGCCCAAGACCTTGACACAGTGCGTACTCCGAAATCAGCAACCCACTTTTGCCATGTACATGTAACCTCAATCCTGCAAATTCCTCCAATTTGCAAAAATGATTTTGGAGGATTCAGGGCGGTTAGGGTTAAGTACCGGTACATACCGGTACATACATGTATACTTATGTGGGTTTGAAGCCCATGCTCGTGAGCATGCAAGCACACGAGGACCCCATCCTGTAAAATCTCCCAAAACCTTAGTGGATTTTGCAGGATAATGGGCAGTCCAGTAAACATTCCTGCATGTGCGTGCATGCATTCACTGCCATCATCTCACTTCCTGCACACACCGAGGGGGAAATACCCAAGGGTGTGAACCCAAAGTGAGATTTTATTTGCCCTCGGATCTGGAGGCAGTGGAGTGTGTTTGCTGGAGAAACACAAGGCCGCGGAACGCATCACATCCAGGCAAAACTGGTTGTGATTGGATGACAGGGTGCCATCCGGGAAGAAAAAACGGGAAGCTGTATTGAATGTGTGAAGAAAAAAAATTGTCCTAGAAATTCAAGTACACGCCTTTGTGTGCATGTATGTACTTAAAGGGGCATGCAGCTGTTAGGCAGGGTTCGACTTTAGCGGTAGCCCGCTAGCCAAATGCTAGTCAAAACAGCGGTGGGCTAGTCAAACTATTCCTTAAGTAGCCCGGCTGGCGAGTCAAAAATGATTGGGCTACGGCAAAGATGAAAGGACAGGAAGAAATAAATCATGAAATTCAGAAAGCAAACCAAGCGAAATCGTCCTTCCGTGACAAAGACTGAACATTGCCTTACCGTGTGATAAGTATTCACATATCAAGCTTTCTTGAACATGTTGAAATCTGCTTTTACGCCAAATCTGGCATTTAAACGAAATTCGAGGTAAAATCTGGCAAGATCTCAACGTCCTGCAACCTCCTCCTGATGCATGTGATTTACTACGTGATAAATGCTGCGGATAATTTGGTATCGCACTGACGCTCCGGGCATTCCTTTTGTCCGGATCATAAGTGCGATTCCAAATTATTAGCTGCGTTTATCACGTGGTCTCGTTATTGCCCAATCAGACGCCCCCTATCATATGCGCCACATGAAGCAGACGGGTAGCTCGGAGGGCTCCGATAATTTTGCACGCAAATGACCCTGGGTACTCGTCCAGGGTCATTTGTCAGGGTCACTTGTCAGGTTAAAATCTAATTTCTACACGTTCGTATGGGTCTTCATTGATGGCAAGTTTCGTCGAAATGACACATCCTGAACACGCGGACAGGCACATTTAGATTTCTAGGTGAGTACTCAACATCCATACGGAATTATGTATGGCAGATCGATTTCGAAGGTTTGAAAATACACAACAGCGTGGCGTTGTATACAACGCCACGTTCACGGGTCTACATATATGGTAAACTGTACACATACATGTAAACAGTTGGACTCTGTTTATTTGTGGTATTCCTAACCCAATGTGAAGCATAATTTAGTTTACTAGTGCAGTACATGTACTCATCCTAACAGATTCCAACAAAGCCTGATGTTGGAGTCTGGCTGGTTAGGGATCGTTAGGATTAAAGATGAACAGTAATTGGGTAAAAAAAGCCTACAGCACAGCACAGCACAAAGCTTGATCGATGTGTTTCAACTAATCATTTGACTGAAACCAAGTTAGAAATACATACAAAATTATTTGAAAGTGCGCAGTCCTAGATCCAATTTTCATTTTCCAAAGCACAGGCATATTTGTGCCATACTCACCTTGTATACTTGGCCGTAGGTTCCATTGCCAACAACTTCCATCAAATCAAAGATTCCGGCAGGATCCTGGGGTTTAAAAAGATCAAAAATGTCGCTGAAATTAGTAAAGGATCGTCCGATTGAAAGATTGATTACTCACGACTAATAAAGCAATACGTTAAAAGGTATGTGGCTACAATGAAACACGTATGACTGAAAAGTATTTAATAATAATAATAATGAAGTCTTATATAGCGCACGTATCTACCAACAATTACGGTACTCAAGGCGCTGGAAATTATGTGTATCATTAAGGAAAGGTAAATAAAGTTTATGAGAAATATGAGACCCATTATGTAGCACCTAATAAGGGTTTACAAGGTGCTGAGAAAGTATGTACTGATACTGATGTACTCACATTAAACAAGCGCACTTTCTCCCTTAACTTTTGATTATTGTTGGACATGTATACCAACAATAAAAAAAATTATTCAACATTTTATCAAAAACATGAATGGAAAGACTGTGGATATCGTCTGACCCCTTTAAAAAGTATGTGACCCTACATCTACATGTAAGCACTCACTTTTAATTTGGGTTTGACAACGTGCGTGTGTTGCAAAGCCTTAGGGCTTTAGGCCTAATTTTCTGCGCCGATTTAGGAAGTCGAGGATAGGGCCTACCTTTATTTTTACTTCATTTAGCATGATACGATTGTGAATATTAATAGCCTACAGTCATGACAGTACAAACTACATGTATATTGAATTATATTTATATTTAAAAAACAAACAAACAAACAAACATTTCCAAAAGGGAAAATGCAATCTATCTGTGTATGACTATGACTATGTGATGAGTATGATATGAGATTCACACTTGCAGACTTTACTCTTTTGTCTTCTACAATGTATGTGTTGCACTGAAGTCTGCAACTGCTTGTTCATCCCATTGTTCAATAAGCACACATTGTACAACACAGATACACATTGTACTGACATACTTTGACCATGATGCAAACACATGCAGTATATCAATGATCTAGTTGGCATGGTTGGGTAGACCACTTCATTCCATTATTTACTAAGGGGAAAAAAATCAAAATACATTATTTCCTGGGAACGTCAATTGATGTGAAACAAAATCTTACCCTCAAGCTTGACAGATCAATGTCGTCCAAACTTCGCATCGACGCCATGGCTAATAAAAAAGGTAATTTTTTTTAACAGATTCTGCGAGTTCTTCAAGTGACGACCATTGCCTTATTTTGTACACTAAGCAGCGGAGGTCCGGACCTTTCCAAGATCATTAACAATATTCGTGGTATCCCTCTGCTCTTGATAATCTTCGATCGCTCTCCCAGCCTGCTTACAAATCCATCAACACGACAAAGTCGCCAACAAGCGAATGTGTACTCTAGCCCGAAAGTGGGCCAGCTTTTTCGGGGGTGACTAACCATCCACTTCCGCTTAGGAATTCCGATCGAATCCAGAGTGATTCACGGCAAAAAATTCTCCGTGGCCAACACAGTAAACCATTATTGCATTGTGCGATCGTCGTACAGTAGTCAGTACATGTCGTTGAAAAGAATATAATGATGCATGTAAATATTGACGGTCGACACTGGTACCCGGCTATGCCGTCGTGTACGTTAACTGTTTACACGCCCCAAAAGGGAACCGCTGCTTCTGGATTGAGGGCGGGCTTTACTAAGTTCGGATCACCATTGCTTGCCAAAGAATCGTTTAGGGGTGCAGACCAGTAAATCGGTCCGAAATTGCCTATACTACATGGATTTTTAGAGAAAAATAAATCCTCATTTTTCACCGATTTCACCCCAAATGTTCGTCCAAATTTCATTTTGAAAAGCACATCTGTCCAGAAATCGAATGGAAATGTGTTCTAGGGTCCTATGGGCATCTTTCCAGCAAGTTTGAAGAAATTTGATTTTTTGGCCAAAATTGGAAAAAATGCAGCTGCGGCTGTTTTAAGGGTTGAGGCAGTAAAATGGGTCCGAAGTAGCATGCGCCGGCCAAATCACGATTTGCATGCCCTCAAAATCTTCAGTATTTCAGCATGCTGTGGGCCATGAACTTGAGGGTTTGTAAAAAATATGGGTGGAAGCCGTGCACAGGACTGGGAACAAACATATCCAGCTAGTTTGCAGGCCTTCACACAGTTTGAAAAGTTGGTTTTAAATTGCGCGCTCCAGTTTTGAAATTGCGCACACTATTCAAAACGAATAAGGATCCGAGCATCACTCTCTTAATTCGAAAATCCAAATTAATTAATTGTCTATGAACCAAAAAAATCAGCTCATGTCGATGTCAAGTATTAAAAAGTATTAATATTCATAGATTCACGACGTATACCTTTGATTCCTTTTTAAATACTACCGGAGACCTGCCGGGCAGATGTAAATATCCAACTAAAGCAAAGTTAAAAAAAAAAAAAAAAAAAAAAAAGATTTAAAAAAAATCAAAAAGTTATGTGCTAGCCAAGCTTTCAGGGATCGGTCTGAGCCATAACAATGCCCCAGCCAACCCCTTAGTTCTCTTCCAGTGTCTCGGCGTCCCCGACCAATACACACTTCCTTCCCTGTCCATCCATGTAACCCCGGAGGGCCAGGCACCATGTAAAAGCAAAGAGCTAAGGGAGGAACAGGGCGGCACCCTAAGCCCTGATCCTCCGAGTGGACCACATGCCCTTAACCTGTACGAAGACGCCAACCTGGAGCTCACGGACAGTACCAGCCGCAGAGCTTACCGATTAAGCTAAGGTACCGTTGGTATTTGACGACGGGAAATTAAACATCTTGTGCTTAAATGTACTTAGAGTTACGCAACAGTGAACACTATTATTATGCAGGCTTTTTTGTGCTATCGGGTGCGTTCAGGGGCGGATCCAGGATTTTTTGCGGGGGATGTCCGGGCACCTTAGATATTTAAATCCGATTATTGAGGACAGGCGGACCGTGTCATTATTATATTTGATTAAAAATTATTTATTTTTCGTGTGTGTCTGACCGGTGGGGGGGGGGGGGGGGGGGGTGTTTCGTCTCCCTCTGGATCCGCGCCTGACTTCTACTATTTGTATTTGGACAGCTACCGATTTTCAACTCCGTCACTACTATTTCAACATTATCACGTCTTTAGAAAATGAAACGATAATTTGTTTTTACGGATTTGTTTCCTCAAAAATAATGTGAACAGTACGTTCTCATCCTTAATTCTATAAACAACCAAAAACAAACATTTAAACGTAGATGAAAACAACATTAACCAGGACACCACATTACACTGGGGGGCCCTGTTCATGACGTCCATATTTTATGTTTCGTACAATAACGCTTCGCTCGTAACCCCGCCCTGCAAGCAGGGGCTAGGGCGCTGAGCCGGGAATTAAGGGCTGATGCCATTCACAGAATCTTGTGAAGGAAGTGGGGATGGCATTCTGGGTAACATATCATGACCTACATAGCCTTACTTTTTTGATGAACTAATTGGCCAAAAAATGACTTTTCTCAAAACGATGCAAACATTTCTTTAGAGGTAAGAGGAGTATTAATCAACCTTCAAACACCCAATATTTTGCAGATTTGGGCAAAAATCATGGATATTTAGAGAAAAAAATCCGCTAATTTTTAACCGATTTCACCCCAAATTTTCGCCCAAATTTCATTTTGAAAAGCACATCTTTCCAGCAAGTTTGAAGAAATTTGATTTTTTTGGGCCAAACTTGGAAAAAATGCAAGGGTTAAAAGACAAAATTATAGCTGCGGCTGTTTAAAGGGTTGAGGCAGTAAAATGGGTCCGAAGTAGCATACGCCGGCCAAATCACGATTTGCATGCCCTCAAATTCTTAAGTACTTGAGCATATTGTGGGCCATGCACTTGAGGGTTCGTAAACAGTGAGGATGGAAGCCGTGCACAGGAACGTGAGCTTGTATTTCTGTGCAATTCGCATGAAATTGGGGCTGTAAAAGCGCTCTATTTTGCATTTGGAGTGTAGGCGTCGTTTTTCAAAATGGCGATGGGTGATCATATTCGGATGGAAATTTCTCCCAACTTACAATCAGATTACCACCAAAAAATTGAGGAAAAATAGAAAGACGATTAAACTAAGCTTTAATTTTAATGGCTGAGAGATGGTCAAAATAACCCGGCCCTTTTAGGGTTAACAAACATATTTTGAGACACTTTTTTTAAAATTCTTTCTTTTCCATCTCTTTCATTTCTTGAAACCTTATTTCCATCGTCGGAAAAAAAATACAATTGAACTGCTTGAGCTTGCATATTCAATGGTCATTGAGGAACTTTACCCATTGAATTACCCTACATCTTTTCCCAGCTTTCGAGACAGAAAAGTTGACAATTACACACCAAACACATTGGTGGCGCTGTTCACGGTCTCCAATGACATCAAAAAAAATCACAACCCTCTGTTTCCTACCTATACCTCCATGCTCTACCGTACCGGTGGTAGTTGAGTCTCTTTAACGTTAGTTGAGGAAACCTTGTCTCAGTAATTTAGGAAAGTGTTTGTCCTACTCCCATTACCTTGAGAGTATTTGGAATAAGTAGAACAATCATCAGCAACAACAACACTTTGAAGTCATCGTGACAAGCTGTGAGTGTGAGTAGATTACAGCATTTGTTTTGCTCTGTTTGTACACTACACGGCCGGACGCCGCCTAGTTTTTTTTAGTTTGCCTGTGCATACTTGATGATTATCGTGCGCGTGCTTGACTTCACGGCATCCATTGAAAGGTCAATCGAACATGTCGGCGGGCACTTCTGTATTTCCATTAATATCACATTTCCATTAATATCACCCTGTTGACCGTGTCCATGTAGGCCAGGGTGTCGTGACCAAAAGTATTTTCCAACAAAATCTGAAATGTTTAAACTAATATTATAAACTGAATATAAGCGTGATCGATGGCCTATTGTAGTTCTTATTTTTTTTTTTTGGGGGGGGGGGAATTCATGACTGAATGTTCATCATTTTGGGGGATATTGATATGGTGAAAAAAGTGGTTTGTAAATTGTAGGGTTCTGTGTTCTTTCCACGTAATAACTCATCACAAATGTTGCATTGGATGGTTTTTAAAACCAAAACAATTGCATGAAGGGGAGCATTTTTTGGGGGGAGGGGGGTAGATGGTTGGGTGGATTGCAATTTCGTACAATTTAACATAAAACTTTAAGACCAAAGTGTTGGGCTATTACAATTACAATTAGGTGCTGTTCAACAAGTTCATTTTTTCTCCTAACAAATGTCCTATTACTATTTATAGGCCCTATTTGTTTTAGGCCTTATATAAAAAAATTAGTTTCTCACCTGGGCTTTTTTTTAATGAAGGAGGGGGGTAATTTTTAATTTTTTGTTTCCAATATGGCAGATTTTCCTAGATGGCGGATGTACCGGCATTCTTCCCTTTTCTCAACTTTTTTGCTGATAAATATACAATTTATGTCCAATGGAGCCATAGGCCTAACCCTTTCTACATCTAACACTACAATACTGACACTATATATATTTACAAAGTATATTACAAACATGTAAGAAATGAAAAAAAACAGGAGCCGGAAAGATTTCCATACGAAGTTCACTCAACACCCTATGTACAAACCCTATGAGATTGGACTGAAAAATTCTAAGTGTTTTCTAAGAAAATGTTTGTATTTTCTCACTGCTCAAATTGACTTTGATGACATGAAATTGCTATCTGGGGGCTTGTTAGTCAATACAGAGGAAAATTAGTGAACTTCTTATATGGAAATCTTTCCCAGGAGCCGGGCAGGCAGGGATGAGAAACTTGGCCTTATATTGCTACCTCGCCTGTTAGCTATAAAATCTATGCTGCATTTGTGCCACTTTTTAAACCAAAAAATTCAATTATTTTGCGTAGGCCTAAAGCCAAAAATATTTTGTACAAATTTGTCAGGAAACAATTTTACTTAGGCCAAGGAAAAAAAAACCCAAAACACCAAGTTTCTCGTCTGGACTCGAGGGAAGAGGAGGCCGTGTTGTTATTGTTTTTTTTTTCTTCAAGATGTTATGATTCAAATGAGCCATAACGCCTTAAAACAGATCCTAAACTTGCATACATGTAATGTACGCAAAGCTACAATTTTGCTGGAGGGACTTGTATACAAAAAAAAATGTATATTGCCAATGATTTAATTAAAATTTAAAAAAAAAAGGAGACAGCCGGGAAAAAAGGCAGTGGGTAAGTTGAGAAACGGGTTTATTTTTGTACTTGGCCTTTAACTGAAACTGCAAGATTTTTTTTTCATTCTATGTCTCATTCAAAGGTGAATAAACTTTTGTGTTAGCTAGAAAAATAGCAATCCACATTTTTGCAAAATATTTTTTGGGGTAGAAAGCATGGGGAGAATTACTTCTAGACTGGTGCAGCCTTAAATTCACTGGTCGGCCATATTAATTTGAAAGCGATTTAAAATCTCAATTTTTGGAACTTGCGAATAGAAATGAAAGCAGTGACGTAAAGTTAATTACAAATTAATATCAGTCTGCTCTGATGAATAATTTAAAATGATTAATTAATTATGCTAT